GTTTGCAATGCAGAACAAAATGGTTCGCCTTTTTGTGATATATGGGGGTCAGTGGAATCAGACAGGCATTGTATACGAAGGTGGAGTTATGGGTGGGTTAAATGTTGATGAAGGAATAACATACAGAGACCTTGTAAGTGCGATCTTTAGGATGACTAGAATAAATCCTGATCTTTTCAATATTGTTCTACAATGTATCTACAAATTTGAGTACCAAGTGCCAAACTTTTATATATCCGATGATACTAGCCTTGCTTTTTACCTTATGGGCCCTCTACATCCCTTCCAAGTGCCTTTGTATGTATCCGTTGTACCAAAGGAAAGACAAGGTAGTGGTAGTAACTCACGTGATGGTACATTATATCCCCAAACCGAAACATTGGCTTCATTTCCATGCCAAGTAGAACAAAACGTTCCTTCTCCTATCCCACTAAATCACATGCACTCACCTATAGATACTATCAACCCGCCATGTTCTGTACAATTTATGACTCCATTGACGGACAATATTGTCCCTTGCAATTTAGGCGACGATGAACAAGAACACTTCGGGCAGTGGGATGATGTTGGAGGTGATGAGGACCATGAGTATGAGAATGAGGATGATGGCTACACAAGAACTGAGAATGAGTATAAGTACAAGGATGATGAAGCTGAGGACCCAGTTTGGGGCGGTGATCCATCCCCAAGAACACCTGTTGTGGAAGTACAGTCTGTAAGTAGGAATGCCCCTTGTGCAACTACTAATGGTCAACATGCGTCCTTAGAATAGATGGATACAATTGGTAATGAGGATGGTTTTGTTCACGACATTGCAGTTGGCAGTGTTTTTCGGTCTAAGGATGAGTTACGATTTAAACTGGCTGTTTTTGCTATCACCAAGAATTTTGAGTACAAGGTTAAAAAATCTACCACGAAGTTATTATCTGTTGCATGCACGGAAAATGGGTGCAAATGGGCCCTACGTGTAAGAAGAATCAAAGGTTCGAATACCTTTCTCATCTCAACGTTTTCTGAGAATCACAGTTGCGAACGATCGACACTGGCACATGATCATCGACAAGCTGGTAGTTGGGTAGTGGGTCAGTTGATAAAGTCAAACTTTGAGGAGGTCAGCCGTCGTTACAGGCCTAAAGATATTGTGAATGATATGCAAAAGAATTATGGTGTCAATGTCCGATATGAAAAGGCACGGCGAGCGAAAGAAGTCGCACTGGGCCTATTGATGGGATCGCCTAGAGAGTCGTACTCTACTTTACATAAGTATGGAGAGGCTCTGAAGGCCGTGAATGAAGGAACGGTTTTCCACATGAAATTAGAGGATGACACATTCTTCAAGTACGCATTCATGGCCTTAGGATGCTCGATTAGGGGTTTTGGAAGTTGCATACGACCTATACTTGTGGTTGATGGAGCACATTTGAAGGGGAAGTACAAAGGAGTATTACTTACTGCATCCTCAATAGATGGCAACAACCAAATTTACCATCTTGCATTTGGTGTTGTCGATAAGGCGCGTGATGATTCATGGACTTGGTTTATCGAGCGGGTTAAGATTTGTATAGGTGACATAAATGGTTTGGTTTTTATATCTGACCGGCATCAAAGTATCACGAACTCCGTGGCAACGGTGTTTCCTGATGCAGCACACGTCACATGTATGCATCATTTAGCGATGAAATTGAATGAGAAGTTTAGAAACGAGGGAATGCAAATAATTTTCGCTAAAGCAGCAAAGGCGTTCAAGATATCAAAGTTTCGATACTATTGGGGCCAACTAGCCGGATTCCCAGGAGTCCAGAAATACTTGGAAGACATCGGATTCGACAAGTGGGCTCGTGCATATCAACCTGGAATGAGGTATAACCAAATGACCTCGAATCTTGCTGAGTCCATGAATGCGGTACTTGTTCATGCTCGTACTTTGCCAATAACAGCTATATTTGAAAATTGTCGAGCTCTATTACAACAATGGTTTTATGAGAGGCGGACGGCTGCCTATAGTYGAGGAACAGTTCTTACTGAATATGCAGAAATTATTCTTAAAAAAGAGGCAGAACGAGCTCGATATCATCATGTTAGGCCAATTGATCGGTTCGAATTCGAAGTGCATGATGGTACATCCAAGGTAAGTGTCAACCTGAATAGCAAGACCTGCACGTGTAAACAATTTGACTATTTCGAGATTACATGCTCTCATGCCATTGCTGGGGCGGTTTTTCGAAACATTAGCGTGCATTCATTATGTTCTGATAGGTACCAAATCGAAACTCTCATACTTGGTTACGCCGAACCCGTGTACCCGCTCGGAGATGAAGAAGATTGGATTTTACCGGATGACTACGTGCCAAAGACGATTAAGCCACCAAAATTTGTTCCTCGTGTTGGACGTTGCCAAACTACTAGAATACCATCGGCCGGGGAAGTCCGATAGGTACACAAATGCGGGCGATGTGGAAACGTTGGACACAACCGCAAGACGTGTAGGCAACCGCTCCGAACAGAATGATATGGTTGTTATTATAGTCGAAACTATGTGTGCTATGTAAATATTACTACATTATGGTTTTGCCGGCGTTAAAATGATGTATTTTGTAGGTTCAGAAGTAGACTAAGTCAAGAATAATTCTTTTCAGCTTCTGTCATGT